TGGGACTTCCATATAACCCAGTAATTCAACACCTAGGAGTCTATCCAAGGGATACAAAAACATTAATTCAAAAGGATACCTGTGCCCCTGTATATTGCAGCACTATTTACAATAGGTAGCATATGGAAATGACCCAAATGCTCAAAACTCAACCATGTTCAGCAACATGGTTGGAGCAGGAAGGGATGATGCTTAGTGAAATAAGCCAGAAAAAAAAAAAAAAGAAAAATATTGGATATGTTCACTTATAGAGGCAATACAGGAGAAACAAATAAGTGATCAGGAAAAAATTATAACAAATAACAAACCAAAATTAACAGGCAACTATAATTAGAGACACTCTGAAGGGGAATAAGAGGAAGAGGAATCAAAATGGGGGGTGGGTGGGTGGGTGGGTGGGGAGAGACTAGCACAAGGAATTATGGTAATGGTGTACATGTGAATTGGTGGTGGGAATTTTATGGGAACTACACCTTAGCAGAGAAATATATATTTGGAAAAAGCTTTAGACAGAGAAAATAGGAAAAGGGAATCAACCAATTATCAAATTTCTACACTAAATCTACAGTATTGTGGAACAACATACACAAAATTCCTAAAGACAAACAGATTCTAACTCATCTCCACACAGTATACCATATCATTAAATGAAAAAAGACAGAGAAAGAAAGATTTGAGTTCAAGTGTAACTTCATGTACCCTTTTGACCACATTATAAGGAAATTACTGCAATTGAATAAAAATAGAATCAGAACAAAGATCTCAAAATAGAAAACAAAGTATAAAACATGGTGAGCAGTGAATTTTGTAAATTTATAGCTGACCTTAAATGAGTAATAATATGAGTATGAGCTGCAGTATTAATTTAGAAAGAATTTTCTAATAATCAAAACATATGTCACAGGCTTTAATAATATCCTGAAACTTAAATTCAAAATTGCTAACATGCAAGTAGGGCAGAGAGGGAGAAGTAAAAAATAGTTCCAAAATAGTTTAATTTGGAGGTAAGTAAGAGGAGGTATGAAATAGGATAGCTATTAATTAATATCAAATGGATAGCAAAATGGAAATCGAGATCTAAATGACTAAGCAGAAAGTGTTAGTTAAATGGGAATACACTAGTAAAGTTTGTGAGGTTTTTATGATAAATGGTATGTTTAAAAATCATATGTAGGGCCCTCCCTCACAAA